TTTTTCTTTTTTTTTTTGCTCTCTCTCACTCAATCTCTCTCTCTATCTCACTCTATTCCATCGTACACAGATAAATAATAATAATAATAACAGTAATAACTTTAAACCATCACCATGGTTACAACTAAATAACAGTTAACGTTCGACGTTGCCATAGGTGACTTTTAATAATTAATAACAATTGCGCGGATGCAACGATGTGTCGTCGTCGTCTAATGAGTTTTTTTTTGTTCTCTCTTTTTTTTTTCTCTTCATTTCTTTCTTATTTTGTTCATCTTTCGAGGATTATCAAATAAATCCGAACGTGAAGATCGAATGGCCGCAGGACTCGCGGCCCAACGACGAACCGAGCTGCGGCTTCAACAACGAGATGTGCAAGAAGAACGACACTCATCTGAACAGCATCATCGCCGCCGGGATTCTCGCTATACTTTTGTTCTGCGCTGGCGTGATCACGATGAGCATCTACAGGAAGTGGAAGATCGAGCAGGAAATCGAAGGTCTCTTGTGGAAGATCGATCGTACCGATATTCACGGATATCTTGAGGATATCAATTCGCCGACACGAGTGAGCATTTCAACTTGATGAATTGATGAATTGTTAACTAACTAATGTTGTTGTTGTAGGCGAGTTTGTTGAGCGTCAGTGTTGCTTCGTACGAGTCTCGCGGTGGCGCTCAAGTCTTCGCGACGACGGCCGAATACAAGGGTCTCGTGGTGCGAATAAAAGAGTTGAACTTTTCGCGAAAGAAGGACATCTCGAGGGAGGTGATGAAGGAGATGCGTCTGCTGCGAGATCTCCGGCACGACAACATCAACTCGTTCATCGGGGCGTGCGTTGAGCCGATGTCCATTTTCCTAGTCACGGATTACTGCGCCAAAGGGAGCCTATACGTACGTACATAAACAAACGAAGAACAACAACGAATCGATGCTATTTTGTTTTCTTGCAGGATATTATAGAGAACGAGGATATTAAATTGGACAGGATGTTCGTGGCCTCCCTCGTCCATGATCTCATTAAGGTTTGAAACAAACGAACGAACGAACGAACGATCGTCTTATTTATTATACTTTTCCATGGCAGGGCATGATGTACATACACAATTCGATGCTGGTGTGCCACGGCAACCTGAAATCCTCGAACTGCGTGGTGACGAGTCGCTGGGTGCTGCAGGTGACGGATTTCGGGTTGGCGGAGATGCGACACTGCGCCGAGAGCGACAGCATCGGGGAGCATCAGCATTTCAGGAATCTGTTCTGGAAGGCGCCCGAAATGCTCCGGCATCCGTCGCAGTACATCCGCGGCACTCAGAAGGGGGACGTCTACGCGTTCGGCGTCATCCTCTACGAGATCATCGGACGGAAGGGTCCGTTCGGTCTCTGCGAGTACGAACCCAAAGGTAACACCACCAACAACAACATCAACAGCAACAACATTTAATCTTTGCGTTGCAGATATAATTGAGCAGGTGAAAAGCGTTCCGCAGGATGGGGAATGTCCGTTCCGACCGGACCTGGAGGTGCTCGTCGACTCGGAGATCGGTTGCGATGACTACGTTATGCAAAGCATGCGCGATTGTTGGGCCGAGAAGCCGGAGGACAGGCCGGACTTTGGCGAAGTCCGGACGAGACTGAAGAAGATGAAGGACGGAAAGTGAGTGTTGAGAAACGCTTGCGTTGTATTCAACATTTTGATGTTTAATGTTTATTTATATTAAGGAATAGGAATATAATGGATCAAATGATGGAAATGATGGTGACGTACGCCGATCATTTGGAGGAGTTGGTGAGCGAGAGGACGCAACTGCTGCACGAGGAGAAACTGAAGACGGAGGATCTGCTGCACCGAATGTTACCCAAGTGAGTGAGAGAGATAGAGATCCAAGATGATCATGATTTATTTTGTTTTTTTTTTGTTTTTGTTTTGTTTCTCTTGTTAGACCGGTTGCGGAAAGATTGACGATGGGCTACGGCGTCGAGCCCGAATGGTTTGATCTAGTTACGATATACTTTAGTGATATTGTTGGGTTCACTGCGATGTCTGCGGAGAGCACACCCTTACAAGTAATAGAGCGAAATAATCATTTAATTTTAACTAAACTAAAATGTTCTTTTTTGCAGGTAGTTAATTTTCTAAATGATCTCTATACAGTATTCGATCGGATTATCAAAGGATACGACGTGTACAAGGTGGAAACAATCGGTGACGCGTATATGGTCGTGTCCGGTCTGCCCATCCGCAACGGCGATAATCATGCCGGCGAAATTGCCTCCATGTCTTTGGATCTCCTCTCCGCCGTCAAGAATCATTCTATAGCGCATCGACCGAAAGAGACGCTCAAGTTGCGCATCGGAATACACACGGGTAAACGGTCAACGGTCAACGACGACAAATAGATAAAGAAATGTTTTGTATTATTTGTAGGTCCAGTGGTGGCCGGTGTCGTCGGGTTGACCATGCCCAGATACTGTCTGTTCGGTGATACGGTGAACACTGCGTCCCGTATGGAGAGCAACGGGGAACCGCTCAAGATTCACATCAGTCCTCAGTGCAAGGAGGCGCTGGACAAGTTGGGCGGATACGTGGTGGAGGAGAGGGGTCTGGTCGCGATGAAGGGCAAAGGACAGGTGAGGACGTACTGGTTGACGGGGGCGAACGAGAGCGCCATCCAGCGGCGCGAAGTGGATCTGGGCGAGCTGCCGCCTCTGTTCTGCCGCCCCCGAAGGAGTCCGAAGCTGAACACGGACAGCAGGCAGGCCTCCTTCTGCGGAAACTTGTGCAACTTTAACGGTCTGAACAGCAGGAGGCATTCCAGCGTTCCCAGAGGTAACTAACGCAAATTCAATCAAATAGTAGTAGTTAAAAGAAAAGAACAAAAACAACAACAGCGATAATCATTTCAGATACTTATTGCTGTGATAGAGAGGAACATTGTCTGGAAGGTGTGTGTCCGGTTTTCTTTTGTCTGTTTGTTATGCGTGTTTTGTTTTGCATGCGATTGCAGCTTTTGTTTCTTCTTCCGATTGTTTTTTGCTTTTGGGAATGATGATGACGACTTATGATGAGGATGGATGATGATGATTGTGTTGATTTGCAGGTACGAGTACGGAGGTGGAGAGCACATCGACGTTGCACAATTCGAGTCCTATAGCTGGTCGCCTGAGGTACAGCAGAAATGTTCTGCACGTCCCCGAGATGGCGGCGTCCAGGCAGACCTTGGATTCGACGACGGCCTTCGGCAGTCAGAACATCACCGAGGCGATCGGAGGGTTGAGATCGCGACGCGTCCTCTCGAGCATCGCCTCCAGCTCGGACGAGCACCAGAGGACGAGCAGCGGCGGCAGTCAGATGGTGCTGAACGGGGGACGAGCGATGAGGGAGTCCAGATCTCTGGATCCTTTGCCGATGGGTGGACGACGTCAGCAGCAGCAGCTGCAGCTGCAGCAGGCGGTACAGACAGTTTTCGACACGCCCACGCACGCGATGGGCGGAGACTACGACGACGGCAGGAGGAACAGAAGGAGGCCTCAATCTCTGGAGAACTGCTGCCATCTGGACGCAGGAGTTCATCTGCAGAACATTAGGATAATGGCCATCCCCGATGACCGTATGCCAGGTCATCAGCAGCAGCAGCAGCCGCCGACGAACAACAATAACAACAACAACAACAACTTTCCCAATGGCGATGTGATTAATGCGACGAGTGCCGCCATCTGCGAGGATTACGGTACGACGGGGAGCGGAAGCAGCTGCAGTTTAATGGAAGATGCGGAGATGCCGCTGCTGCGCAGTGGTGGCGGCAAAACGGCGAAAGTTGTCGGGACGGTGCTGAGGCGACGCGTCGGCAGCGTCGAGGAGACGATGGAGGACGAAGATTACGACGACGGTAGCGTGGAAGTGGACGAGCACGCGAGGAAGCAGTGGCGGTCGCTGGAGACGGTGCCGACCGTCGGCGATAACCAGACGATGATGCACGACGGAGGTGCGACGAAGAATAGCATCATCCCTGCACCGCTGAAGACTTTGTTCAACTTTTTCAACGGGAACGGCCTGAAGACGAGCAACACCTCGTTGAGGAAGGGCGGCAGCGTCGGCGGAGGCGGCGGTGGAAGGGTAGGAGGTGGCGTAGGCGGTAACGCCCTCCAAGCTGAGAAGGAAAGCATCGTCTAGTTTACATACTTATATATATACACACATACACACACACAAACACACATATAAGTTATATATATATAGAAAGTTATTTAAATGTGCTTAAATATTATTTAAATGTTACCGAAGAAACTATAGCGACGACGAGAATGTTGTCAAATGAATTTAGCCACGCCCTCCGATTTTGTAAGCAACCAAAACAGCATCAGCCAAGTCATTGGTAATTTATTGTACTGAATCGTAACCACCCACCTCCCGCCCACATATTTATACATGTCGACAGCATAAAGCAAAACAAGTCACGCCCCTCCTTTCGTCGGGTTGTCCAATCTTCGCACAACCACGCCCTCCTCCTCCTTTGTTACTATGTATTTTCACTAAATTGATTGTAAATTTGACAAGATGAAGGAATGAATGTGGGGGCAATTGCTGCAATAGAATATAATATAAAAGATGTTAACAAGTACGTAACATCTCTAAAAAAAATTTAAATAAAAATCGTTATCTTTATTTTATAATACATATGCAACGTACACATAGTGTACGTTTTATTTCTGTTTTGTTTTGTTGTTTCTTTCTTCTTTTTCTATTTGCACGTTCAGATTTGTTGAATTGAAAATCCTGGACGAGGAAGAATTTATTGAATGATGATGATGCGTAATTACGATTAATTCAATTAAGTTTTCTTTTCCTCTTTTCTTTTTTGTCCGAAATTAGTTTATTTGAGAGAAAGAGAGAGAGAAAGAGTTCTGTTTTTATTTCTAATTTTATTATAATATTATTATATATATATATTTTTTTTTTGAATGGCTGTGAAGTTCATTTTTTTTTGTTCGTTTGTTTATATGTGTATATAATAAATATATATATATATATAATCATGCAGACACGCGCACACACACACATACATACAAGCAATTCTTTCTTCTTGGACATTCTATTATTATTATATTCTCTATATATATATATATTATTGTTTGTTTTTTGTTTTTTGTTTCTTGTTTTTTTTTTCTTCTTTTGTTTTGTTGACCGAAGGGATCTAGGATGTATCTACGAATTTTAAATTTATTACAAAAGTACGCGCGCAGAGAGAGAGAGAGAGATAAAGAAAGTTGTGCAGTGTTGTTACGAGAGAGAGACACACAGAGAGAGAGAGAGAAGAAATACATTGTAAATGTGCCATTAACTTATGTATATTAATTATTGATAATGATGATAATAATAATAAATATCTATTCAACTTAAATATATATATATATATTCATTTGCTTAGTATTTAGAAAAAAATTAAAAAATTAAATTATTGAGACACCCTGTATAAGCAATGCCAAATGCTTGCTTGAATCACACTGTATAGTATACAAATTAAAGTTTGATTAGTACTAGTGTCTAGTGTGTACTTAATATTAATGTTTATATAATAAATTGTCCAATATCTCGATATATTGATTAATTTTAAGTTGTTTAATACTCGATACAATAGTAATAATATTAATGTACGCCATCTGGGGATGATTATGCGCAGTACTTTGAAGGCAAGTGGTGGGGGGCGTCCGTTGGTAACATTGGATCCAGTCTTGGGACCAAAACGAGCTGATTTAAAATCGC